GTCCTGGAGCGAACATAAAACATACACAAGACAGTTACCATCCTCGAGCAGGAGCTTATCCGTCGAAATTCCGGGCCGAATAACTTTATAACAAAAATCAAGAAAACACACCAATAAGTTAGAACCCGTACCTACATAGTCCAAATTATACCCACCAGTCGCTTAAAAATAAGCAATCGCGTCGTCAAACTTAACGGAATCCATCAACCTAGCTATCTTAAAAAAGGCTAGGCATCCTAAGACAATAGAATTAAATATCTACATATACCTGTACTCTTCAATTTCCTCATCAGGTATCAAGTTATAATACTCGTAGTAGAGGAAGATCAGAAACTATACTAGTAGGTCGCCGCCCAGGGTAGCAGTACAAAGAAGGCGAAATAAAGTATCTATCCTTCCTAGGCCGCCAAGTCCCTTAAAGCCAAATTCTTTCCTACTAATAAACAGCCCAAAGGCCATTCTTAGATAGCCCAGACAGTCCTCATCTTCAAGGTACGCAGATAACAGATAGCCTAATAGTTTACTAGCAATATCAGGAAACTCCCAGCCCCTACTAGACAACTACTTATCTCGGACTTATTAATCGTCGCTATACTCACAGATAGTAAAACAGTTTAATCTCTTAGAGGCTGCATTTCTAGGAATATATATTAATTACATCAAATATAAACCCACTAGCCACTTACTCCTCTATTAACTGCTCATCATATAGAAGAAGAGCTACTATATTAGATAGACGATCTTAAGGCTATTTATATAAATATTCTTATAGCAAGTTCCAGTATAAAATCTTCAATATCTCTAAGAGGTCTTGCTACTTTTAGAAGTTATACAATATAAAGTCAAGTACGCTCTCCTCTTTATTTCTTTAGTGTGGATTTATCGATAAACAGAGAATCAACTAAGTTAACAGGCTAAAGAAGTAAATGTCAATTTAACTTAAAAGCATCGGGTCCAGCAGCTTATTATAATTATAGAATAGTCATAGCTCTAGTACGCGCCATCTAACCGTTCCCTTCCACAGAGTATATTTACTCTACCGAAACCTACACCGCCTCCAAAATCCAAAAGCCTAGCAACCTAATAAGATTCTTCTTAAAATACAAGAATATTCTCTAGCTTAAGGTCACTATAGATAATACCAATATTATAAATCGTAGAGAGTGCAGATATAATACCGCCAACTATATATTATCGACTCTTACACAAGATAGATATATCAGCTATTATAAAGTTACTAAGGTATCTAGATGCCAATTTAAGTATAATAAAAGGGACTCTATACCAGCTATTACTCACACCCTAACTAATAACATCGACGATATTCTCATGCTATTTAAGATGCAAATAGCAAAGGGCTATAACTTTAATAAGAAGGTTAGAGACCTATTAGCAAACAGATTCCGAGGATAGATTTAGGCGCTCTTGGGCATAGAGTATAAATTTCGGGATTTTATAGCTGCTATATATAGAGCTTTGGGGTCTCTAGTATACCCAATATCTCCCTATCGCACAACAAACTAAGCTCTAGAGGCAATATCCTTCTAATCTTAAAGAGCAAAGTATAGGCCTGGTATATTAAGGTTATGAAGAAGAAGACAAAAGTCCGCAATAGGAAGCTCTCATATACCTATATAGTCTTATTTAAGTTCGGTCAGGATCAGGCTTCAGAGTCGGCAATTATTTATTAATAGATCGGTAATATACACAGCAAAAGAGACATAGCCAATCTTAAAGGTAAAGAGCTGGATTCCATAGCTAGTATTTAAATAAGGCAAGTTTATCTCTATCTTACTAGATATAGATATAACAGGCTAAAAGAGAGATATCTAGATATAGGTTAGTGGGTAGGTAGGTAAGTTGAAAAATATTGGCAAGTTAGATATATATAATATATACTAACGTAGCATATCTCCAGCCTTAGCAAACCACACGCCTAAAGACAGACAGTCAGCCTGCATTGCTGCCTGAAGCTGGTAAGGCATCTATTAATTTTTTTTTTTCAACCTTAAATCTTTTATTTCTTACCCTTATTTAACACAGCCCTCGTTCAGCGCATAAATACAAACGCTAGTTATCCTTAGTAATAAAACTTCCATACTTTCAACAAATCCCTCCCACAAGACCAGTTTCAATCCCCGATCTGCCATAATAGAGAGCCCTGGCTTCTAAGTAAGCAATAGCAGACCTTACATTAGGCATCGCTAGCCTGGCAATTAGGATACCAGGTCTAGTACAAGTAATCGGACAGCTCGGGGATACCCTACTACAGAGAGCACAATAGTGCAACAACAAGTATCAAAACCAGCTAGAGCTTATAATACAAATTAGCAAGTCTCAGACACAAGAATTATTTCTCTATCTCAACAGAGAAAACCGGAGAATACCTAAAGCCTTAAAAGATAAAATAGTTTCCATATTCCAGACTCTTCAAAACACCTTCAAGCGCCTCCTGACAGTATTTTCTGGTATTAGACCAGGGAATTAGATCAGCAAGACAGTAAAAATATCCGCTTCTATAAAAACAAAAGCTAAAACTAAAGTCCGCGCCATTAAAAATTAGAATAAGAGAATACTAAACCAGACTCTAATATTTACACTATTCGGGGAACAGTCAACACCAGCCATACCACCAACACCCCTCACGCCCCTCACGCCACCAGCAACCAACTCTGTGAGCAAATACAGAGCCCTGGCATCTAAGAAAGTTAAAAGGCTCCAAGATTCAATCGACAAATCACTTAACCAAGCTAAGCATAAGTCCCAAGTATTACTAAACCCGCCAGACAAGCCAGACAATTATTATTTACTTCCCAATTCCTCGCTAAAACTAAGAACGCTAAAAGCCAAGGAGGGAAAGCTATTTATTATCAAATATCGCACATATAGTAGCGACGCCCTGGACCGAGAAATCAAAAATCACCGGCAAATTGTGCGCAAGGTAGCGCGAATTATACGCCAAGCTGATCCTAAGTTCATAGGCCTCCTCTATTACAACGGCTCTCTCTGGGACTCGATCAAGTATCAGTTCGAGCTATATTTTCCAATCCCATCCGGCCTGCAGGACCCAAGAACTCTTCTCAAGCTGCTATGCAATACCACCAACGGGAAACCTATAGTAAAACATCCTCTAAACCAGCATATTAGCTTGGCCAAACGCATCGTCACAGCAGTTTTCGTCCTTCACGCAGCGAACTTCATATACAAGCAGATCCGCCCAGATAATATACTGGTTTTTAAATACAATCTTCCTATACCGCTATCCAACACCAACTCAACCAGAAACAACCCCCCAAACAAACAGGGTTACCCATATATTCTCGGCAACCCGTTCCTCGTAGAATTCAATAACATTCACAAAGTAAATACTGCCTCGCTTATACTCCCTACCGAGGATTAGAGAAAAAGCATCTACCTCAGCCCGGAGCAACACCAACTTCAGCAAGACAATAACTTTCGCATAGAACATGATATCTACAGTTTGAGTATCATTCTACTTAAGATTGCATTCTAATCTTCATTTCAGGATAAGATATCACCTCAGCTAGGCAAGCTAATATAGAAGGACAAATCCCAATCAACACTGCGTGCCCCACAAGAGCTAAAGAAGACGTACATATCTTTAGCGAAGGGCGCAGTACCACGGGTCATAGGGCAGAAGTATGCAGATATAGTTATAGCGTATTTAATAAGCTTAGATTTGGAGGAGGGTCATATCAAAAGCCTGGAGGATAAGAATGGGATTATAATAGGAACAAGGTATATTATAGAAGTTATTAAGAAGCTAAAGAAGATATCTATATAGTACAGACTATCTAAGGCAATTTGTATTTAGTATTTTAAAGCCGCTAGAGCAAGTTATCTAAGCTCTCTTTTCTATTCATCTTTAGTTCCATTTTATATACCTCCTCTTTTTTACTACTCTTAGTAGACTTAAGCATTCTTCTACTTTAGCAGCTAAAAGGGACGGAAACAACACCCAACTCATTAACTTATCCTAGGGGAGATGCACAGAGAATCGTCGCATAGGCGTCTTGGCTGGTCAGCCCGAAGCTGCACCAGATTACGCGTATGAGGTCGGGTCAATCTAAGGCTTATATCTCCTGATAGGGAAGCATCTAATAAGATAGAATATCGGGTCGATCGCAGGAAAGTTCGCTGGCAAGGCATCAATAGAGCCCGCGGCAGCCCGATATCCGAGGGAGGTTGAAGACAGAGGCAGGACAAGGATCGTAGTAACAGTCAAAATAGACTCAAATAAATCTCTCAAAAATAAAGGCAATAAATTAATAGACTTCCTAGCAGTCTCGAGCCCTTCCAGCCTCTCTGACTTCTTAAAAGAATCTCTGATGAAAGAAAGAAAAAACGATGCCCCCTCCCCCGTAACAGCCCTAACCTTCCCTTTTAACCTCATCCAGACCACCCTAGAGACATCCCCGCTAGTGACCAGCTAGCCCAAGCATCCCTAACCGCCTGTCACACTACTAACTGGATCTAGAGGAAGAGGTTAACTATTAAGGCTGTATTACTGTAAGATGCCTACATTCTTATTATCTCTTCCACTTTTGCTGAAAGTAGTTTGTACGCGTCGCTATTAGTTTATGACCTCTGTAATTCCTGTTGGAAAACTAGCGTGGCACTTTGATAATATCAATCTTGTGTATTATATATATATGTATCTTTCTCTTTTTGTTCTGAGGTATCAGAGCAAGCTTTATATACCTCATTCTGTACTGTGTAGAATCAGCTAGATGCTGATTCCTAAGCCTTGTAGCAAAATACTAGGCAACTAATTACATAACCTACCCAGTCTAATACTAAGTATATAGTCCAATCTAATAGCTACAACCTTTCTATATAGCAGCAGTTTCTTAAGCTACTAAGGTAAAAGGGAAAGTAATAACTTAATTATAAATTAAGTTATCTAGCTGTATCTATAGAATTAAACTAATACTTAATTCTAATATTAAGCCTTAGCTTATAATAGCTTCTTAGCTTTAAATAGATAATTCCAGTAGTAATAACCTTATTAAATAAATTACTATTTAGCTTTTTATATTAAAAAATACATATAAATTATAAACTTTAATCTACTATTATATAAAGAATATATTATTTTCTATTTATATTTTACTTTCTATATAGAAAACTATATTTTTATTTATATATTATTTATTACGGGCCAGGGCCTATATCCTTGCAGCTATACTGCAAGATATACTTAGCTCATGCACACCAGAATGGGAAATCATTCTACATCTCAGGGGCACTTAGGAATTTCTTTCTTTCTTCTTCATCTTTAATATAAATAGCATCCTGGATTAAATAGCTAGAATCTAGTTACTAGAGGCCGTTTACATACATCAAAGATTACCTATTCTTTTATTTAAAGTTAGAACTATTAGGATAGACAGCCCGATACTACCGTAGCCTCGAGGCTATTATGTAGGAACTTAGGCTTATAAGAGAGGAAAATGCTAAACTTAGGAAAACCTCCGCAGAGAGGAATGAAGAGCTAAGAAAAAGCATTGCAGAGAAGGATGAAGAAATCAGATTGAAGATTCAGGTAGTTGTAGCTATAGTCCAGGGGACGGTACTCCTCTAATACTAAGTAGACTTAGTATCCCAATTCTAAAGATTAATACCCTTAAGCTTGAAATTAAATATAAGACTAAGTTTAAATTTAAATTGAAGCTAGTCTACTAATTGTACTTATATCTATCCAATTTTGCTTTTTATAAAGAAAATAAAACTATATAGCCTAGGTGGAAGCTAGAGATAGAAAATAAGCTATAGAAAGATATTAATATTTTAGATAGCTTTAGGTTATAGTTATATATATATACTCTTAGCTAGTAGAAAAGGCTAAGTAGAATATTACTATATATATATAAAATAAGATATAGTAAATTAATATAAAATTAATCTAGTAATACTTTTATCTATTTAGAGCTTTGATATAGAGATTAAATTTAAAAGAAAGGCTATTTAAGTATTTTACTTTCTTAATAAGAAAAAATAAGTTTTTTAATTTCTTCTATTTTACTTTAAAAGGAGATTTTAATATTAATATAGATTATAGCTAATAATAATAAGATTTCTATTTAATTATTACCTAAATAATAAGCTAAAATAGTATTTATACTAGTAAATTAAAAAGAGCTAGTTATTTATATATAGCTAGTAATAAGATATTAAAAGCTAAGTAATATTATAGACTTTAGATTAATAAAAGAATTAGATAGTAAGAGGTAATTAAGTTTTTTATTAATATTATAAATAGTAAAAAAGAAATATAATAAAATAGAAATAACTTCTATAAATATAATATAAGTAAATATCTTAAAATCTTAAAGGAATAATAGAATTTAATAGATATCTATTAAAGTAGTTAAAATAAATATACTAGATAAAAAAGCTAAGTAGGTTAGCTAAAAAGAAATTAATATATAATACCTTAAGTATACTATCTTTATTATAAAGAAATAATTATAAGATCTTTATATACTATTAGTAGTGCTATTTATTCTGGTTATAACTATATATTAAATCTTATTGTATATTCTTAGGTTATTAAGTAGTAATAGAGAAGAAAAAAAGCAGCTAGAAGAGGAAGAGATAAATAATAGAGTATATAGCAGCCCTAAGGGAATAGAAAATAGATAGCAAGGTAAAGATAAATAGAGACTTCTTTCTAGCTAATATTAAGCTTAATAGAACTGACTTTACTATAGCTCTTATTAACTATAGATACTTTTGCTATACTGCTATAGATAAATAACTCTTTTACTTTCTAGAATTGCTCTGGATTTCTATTACCCCTTAAAAGCTTAAGAATATAATAGATACTCTAAATATAATTATTAATATAGTAATATATATATTAATTAATATTAATAGGTACTAGTAATAGTATATTTTCTTCTATGTAATTTTAAAGCTAAATTATAATATTATTCTTAAGAAATTATAA